TGTGTGTATTTGTGTGTATATATATATATATATATATATATATATATATATATATATCAGTGGTGTGCGGTGGTGTTCGGAAATGAGGAGACAAAGTCCTCAAATTTTTTTTTTTCCCCAAATGTAAATTAATGTCCCAGTCACATTTTCTTGGTTAACTAAACAGTACTTACACTATCAAAAAAACAAACAAAACTATTTTATATTTTTACATTAACAACAATGTAATCAATATTCTATTTATTAAAGCCATGCATTATTATTTGTTTTGTTCACACATTATTATTATCACATTATTTGTGAACTTATGTTCAGCTATTCTTTTCAATAGTTAACTTTTAACTATTTTTGAATTATTCAGATCATCAGTCATGAAATTGCTCCAAGCTGATTGCTCAATAAAAACTTTTTTTCTAAAAAAAAATTAATCTTATTTTGATGTAAAAAAAAAAAAAGTGGTAAAAAAATATATCTAAGTGTGAGAGTTGTTTACTTACTTTTTTTATTAGTCTTCCCATTAACGCCATTATATTGTTCATTCAGACTGATTCGCGAACGCGGAACGCGCATGAACACAAGAGGCGGGATTTATCTAATGAACCAATCACAGCCGAACATAACCAGTCAGATCCAATCATATCGCGATGGAGGCATGGCCTCCTCTCACTTGACTTTCCCCCATTCATTCTCAATTACCCCTCAGTAAAGTCAAGGCACTCTATGGGGTCTCTGTTAATAGTCAATGGGCTCAGGGGAGGCAAGCCTCCGCTGTAACTTTACCTGCGGGTGTCGCTGTTGGACAGTGTGAGTGTTACTTTAGAAAAACGAGTGATTTATACACCTTTTTAATGTTATACTTTGTAATATGAGCGTTGTTTTATTTTTGTACTACAAATTTTTTTTTCTCATCCAATATTTTGAGGAGACACTGCCTCCCTTGCCTCCTCGGAGGAAACGCGCCTGATATATATATATATACACACACACACACACACAGTACTGTGCAAAAGTCTTAGGCAATTAGTATTTTCACCACCACAAAAAATGGTTTTAAGCAAGTTATTTCTATCTTTTGCTGTAGTGTGTCAGTAGGAAGTATCAGTTTACATTTCCAAACATTACTTTCACCATTAATTGAAATAATCCAGCGAGATTTTTGCATGCAATTAAATTTTTTATCTAATGAATGAAACATTTGATAGTATATTTTCATTATATATTATGGATTTATATATTTGTATATAGATACATTTAGTTATTTTGTCCATTTTACCCCTCTTTGTTTGTTCCTCTGTTTAATAAATAAGTAAATAGGTAAACATTTCATTGTTTGGTATTTCAATGAAACCTTCAAATGACAACTTTGGCATCATTTGCTCACCCTCATGTTGTTATAACTTTCTTCCATGCAAAACAAAATGAGAAGTCAGACAGAATGAAAGCCTCCATCATCATTCACTTTTATTGCATCTTTCCATACAGTGTAAGTGAATGATGACGGAGGCTGTCATCTGCATTTGTGTGCAATGGAAGAAAGTCATACAGGCCTGGAACAACACAATCTTTCTCTAATCCTCATTGCAGTGTTCATTAAAATACAACAGAAGACCTGCATTGCTCAGTGATAATATTTACATTTTATTCCTACATACATTAGTTTTGTACATCTGCGCTTTGACTTGAAGTGTGAGGATCAAAAACATACATGGTTTCTATTCTCTCTATACAAAAAATTTAACCCCTTCCCACCTTGCACTTAATCGGAGAATATTCTGTAACAACGCAATTCAAAAGAAAAAAGAAATCCATTTCTGCGAAGCGACTGAAAAGGAATTACACCGGGAATTCAGCAGAGATCACTGTGTAACTACTGCAGTTAGTGATGCACAACTTTCTCAAAGAGACCAAAGTTACATGTGTACAATTTGTTTTAATCTGGCCAATACAAATAAATCTTCCATCACTGGGCCACTTTGTGAATAACAACAGAAATGATGACAGCACACTGATACAATTCCAGACAGTTACTGATTTTCTTGAGCCTTATCATAATGCAAATAGCAGCTTGAGTGTACTAGCAAAACTGACGTAAAAATCCCATAGCATTGATTGAAGGGGGGAAAAAACAAGTCAGCTCAATCAGAGACCTAATTAAATTAGTATAAATAATTATTTTAAATGAATAAAATACATATTTAGATGGGTTTCTAATTATTATATGTCAGCTACAAAAAACGATGTACCATGGGCATATTGGGAGACTTTATGAAAGTGATCAGATATAGCTTTATAAGGATCTCTAATCATATCAATATAACAGTATAACCAGTACATGACCAGTGTGACACAAATGTGTAATTTATTCCAAGCAGGGCAAAGAAAAACATAGGGAATCTGAAGTCAAACACACATTGGTACAAGCCCTCTTCACTTTCTATCCGTTTGGTGTCCAATCAAACAGTTCATAAAATCACTTACAAGATCAAGTTAATAAGAATAAAATACAATTCTCTTTACATTTCACATACTGTTAACAATCTCTTTACGAGGAACGTGTCAGGGGAGAATTTGGTTTATTTTAAACTCTAAGCCATGATTGCTTAAAGTGAGTAAGATTTGGGATATTTTCAAGGAATAGGATTTTCCAAAGTGAGTAAGAAATCATCACTAGCATACAGTGAGAAATGGACCCTTAGGAGAACCAAGGAGTCAAACATTCAGCTAAAGAAATGTCTTGACTATAAACCGGGTTTGTAGTTTTTAGTTCTTGGCAGCATCCACCTGTCTTGTCCAGTTTTCCTCTTCGATTCCAGAGTCGTACTCCTCCTCAGAGGAGTCTTTAGCTGCAGCTCTGAGTGAAGAGAAAAGCAAAAGAGTCAATGAAACTGATTAAAATGACCACAAAGTGCTATTAAACGAATGAGGCAGTAAATTCAAAGGGATAGCAATGTGTGCTGGTTTACTTAGAGAACACTTTCTATGTTCTCAGCGTGTACATAATAATCAAACAGTTAAATAATTTTTTTTATTGAACCCAGAATGAGGAACCATTATTGTTTACATTAAAAATGATACTGAGCAGATAAAATATTTTTTCTTGATATGAATTATATTTATTGAAATATATATATATATATATATATATATATATTATTTCAATTATGATTTTTTGTTACAATTGTTTAATTGCAATGTGCATTACAGTTCAAATAAATATATAAACAATTCTCTTTACATTTCACATACTGTTAACAATCTCTTTACGAGGAACGTGTCAGGGGAGAATTTGGTTTATTTTAAACTCTAAGCCATGATTGCTTAAAGTGAGTAAGATTTGGGATATTTTCAAGGAATAGGATTTTCCAAAGTGAGTAAGAAATCATCACTAGCATACAGTGAGAAATGGACCCTTAGGAGAACCAAGGAGTCAAACATTCAGCTAAAGAAATGTCTTGACTATAAACCGGGTTTGTAGTTTTTAGTTCTTGGCAGCATCCACCTGTCTTGTCCAGTTTTCCTCTTCGATTCCAGAGTCGTACTCCTCCTCAGAGGAGTCTTTAGCTGCAGCTCTGAGTGAAGAGAAAAGCAAAAGAGTCAATGAAACTGATTAAAATGACCACAAAGTGCTATTAAACGAATGAGGCAGTAAATTCAAAGGGACAGCAATGTGTGCTGGTTTACTTAGAGAACACTTTCTATGTTCTCAGCGTGTACATAATAATCAAACAGTTAAATAATTTTTTTTATTGAACCCAGAATGAGGAACCATTATTGTTTACATTAAAAATGATACTGAGCAGATAAAATATTTTTTCTTGATATGAATTATATTTATTGAAATATATATATATATATATATATATATATATTATTTCAATTATGATTTTTTGTTACAATTGTTTAATTGCAATGTGCATTACAGTTCAAATAAATATATAAACAAATAAAAAAAATGAAGGTGTCTTCGAAGTAAATTCTTCAAATGAATGACAGACCTACTTATATTTTAACTTTTTCTTTTCTTTTTTTTTTTTTTCCTTAAATTGCCCTCTCTAAGCACATTTGATCAGAAAAAGTCAATAGTTCCACGTGTGCCAAAAGAGACTTTAAACTTGATTGCGGAAAGATAAGATGACAAAGTAACAAACAAGGTCATGTAGCTCTCACCGTATGTACTGAGGTGGCGCTTTTCCATCAACCACTTTCTTGTTCACTTCCACGGCCACAATATCTGAATGTGGCACCTCAAACATGGGATCTAGCAGCAGTTTTTCCTGTTGGGAAAAAGTGGCAGCTTATGACCTCACAAGAGCACACGTCATTATACCAGCATGCCTTTGAGAAAGTGAAAACGTCACAAAACAAACAACAAAACAGCATTCTCTTACCATTATGGATCTAAGCCCGCGGGCTCCGGTTTTACGCTCCAGAGCCAATCTGGCAATCGCTCTCAGGGCATCAGGTGTCACGTTGAGATCACACTAATACAAAACAAAGACACAGCACATCCAGAAACATGATTCACTTTTAATTTATGCCACCTTTTATTATATTATGTATGATATATATTTACTAAAAACTATCTGCTTAATAATCTAATAGAAACATATACGTAAGGGATACGTATTGCGTCGGGTGGTTCTTGGCCTCCACGTTGTGCATTAAAATCGTTTAATGCCCAGCTAGCCATGCATTACCCCGTTTATACCATGGTCATTTGCCAGCATTGACAACTTAAAGCGGTTAATGATGTTTGCAGCTCAATATTTGACCAGAAGTTACGGCTTGTTAGCGCTAGCATTCTGCCCGCTTCAAATCAGACTGAGATGAAATAGTGCGGTAAGGTCACATTTATTAGAATTAATGAATTATAACATTTATTTGAATTAATTATCGATCGATCAAGAAAGAGAGATATGACAGTTGCATGAGTGAATTACCTGCGTCTGCGCTCTCTCTACAAACAATGAAGCTGTGAGCTTAGTTACTTAAACAGAGATTTTACCTCCTCGTTGCAGAGGAATATAATGCAGCAATCCAGTATCTAAGCTATTTTATTAATAAAAGTCGCAGGGCAGCATTGACAACAAGTTTCTGTGCTCCTGAATGTTTCTGCGTGCACAGCGTGATCTCCAATCTCTCTCGCTCTCACTCTCACTCTGTGTGAGTAATGTGTGCGTCAATGAAAGCAGCGCATTAATATAGAACGGTGATTAAACTGACTTGGAACTATCTGTGCATTAAACGGTTTTAATGCATACCTGCCAGCCAATCAGAATCAAGTACTGAGACAGACCATGGTATAAAAAAATTATATTAAAGGGGTCATATGATGCCTAGTGTCCCCGTCACTATACTGGGGCGTTAGGACCCACACAGACCACACGGTGAGCACCACCTGCTGGCCTCACTAACACCTCTTCCAGCAGCCACCTAGTTTTCCCAGGAGGTCTCCCATCCAGGTACTGACCAGGCTCAGCCCTGCTTAGCTTCAGTGGGCAACCAGTCTTGGGCTACAGGGTGATATGGCTGCCGGCAGCCATATGACCCCTTTAATAATTTTAATATTAATATAAACACAAAAATAACAACAATGATAAAAGAAAAAAACATTCAAAAGGACATAATACATTTTAAAAAATGGCAAAGTTTTTTATTACTTTATTTATATTCATTATTATTTTTAATAAACATTTTATTATGTTATTTTAGGTTTTTAATATTAATTAACTTAATAAAATATGTGTTCGTGTATTAGGTTTTTTTTTTTTGTGCACTTCAGTATAGTTCAAAATCTTCAAAACAATTGTTTCTCAATAGATCTTGGACTTTGAACTTGCTTGGTGTGTGGATACCCTCTTGTTTTCTACTATGTGATTTGAATCTATGCACCCAGGAAGTGTTGTTTTAGAATCACTGATATCCTATTATAGTTTTATTATTATTTTGAAATAGTTTTTATTTTATCTTCCGTTTTCATTTAAATTTTAGTTAAAGCTGTATTAATTTTTTTTATTAGCTTTTGTTTTTTAAAATGTGTCTATATAGTTTTTTATTCATTTTTATTTCAGTTTTAGTTATATAAGTACTTCTTAAACTAAAAGAAAAGGAGAAATGATGCCTTGGCAACTAGCTGAAAATAAAATAAGCTTAAGGTTTTTTTAATATCTTATTTCAGTTAAACTTTTATTTTAAGTAATGAAAATGTTTTTCTTTATGGTTTTAGTTTTGCTTTTTATTTTAGTTAACGATAACCCTGCATCCAGGAAATACTTAAGACTATATAGATTGGCACAGATCTCTTTTTGCAATTTGTATATCAGGTACCAACCTTGTCCATGCTGAAGAGAGCCTGATACTGAGGCACAACAGCATTGCGTGGCTCTGTGAGGATCTGCACCAGTGTCTTCTCATCCAGGCTGTGCAGCGGAACCACAACAGGAAGACGGCCCACAAACTCAGGAATCATCCCGAACTCAATGAGGTCTCTGGCCTCCACGTGTTTCAGAAGCCGGTCCTTCTCCTCAATCTCAGCCACCACGTCCACTTCTCCACCCGTGGTGTTAGCGAGGTCAGCCGCTGCCGCCGCCCGTCGACCTTTCCACATGTTAGACGGTGTTCCGAACCCAAGGTACTACATATGGAATATGAAGGCAACAGCTACATTATATAAACATAATTTTCCATCATGAAAATGTTCCCGCCATTTTGAATTTTCTGAAAAACCTGCTTTTTGAACCTAGATGGTTCATCCGATTTTCACCAAAATTAATTAACCGAGAAGGTCTTGCATCATTGTGTGAATAAAACCTTGTTGTTATGTGTCTACATCCTGGTATTACTCACCTTCTCATTCTTTCTCCTGCTGATGATACGGTCAAGTCCGTTAAACGCTCCAGATGCTACAAACAGGATGTTGGTGGTGTCAACTTGGACAGTTTCACCTCTCAGTTTCCTCGTGTTCTTCTCAGGAACATTAACAATAGTGCCTTCCAGTAGCTTCAGTAAACCCTATCAAAAACAATGAAACACATGACAGTCATCACCACAAAATTGGTTTCAGGTTATTTTTTAAATCCTGCAGTAAAGAATTTGTATTTTTAGGCATGACTCAAATATGTTTTCTGAAGTCACAAATCGTTATTTTGACAAAATTATTTGTAGAAGCTGCATTTTATGGAAGCTTGTTTCTGCCACAGGATACAAAAAATAAAAAATGGAATTGCAACGTTTTGTCACAATGCTGACTTTCTCACAATTTTTGATAGAGTCTATATATCACAATTCTGATTTTGTTCTTGCAATTAAAAACAAACTGAATTGCAAGACGTGAACTCAGAATTCTGAGGGAAAGAAAGTCTGAATTGTGAGATGTAAATTTGCAATTGTGAGAAAAAAGTCAGAATTGTGTGACAAAAAATCTGAATTTATTTTTCTTATTCTGTGGTGGAAACAAGTTTTCCGTAGCATTTTACAGAAATTAGTCAATCACAAGTTAGTGATTAAAGTAGTACAGAAATACAGAAGTGAGATTCCAAGAATAACAAACTGTTTCTGTTAATCTTTAACAGCCTTGTGAGCATTCTTGCAATTTAGAGCAAAGTTCAGCTGAATATCAGCGACATATCTGAATTGTGTGACCTAGTACATTGAATCTGGTTCATTTTGAATGACCAACCTGCTGCACTCCCTCTCCTCCCACGTCCCTTAACTGATGGATCCCAGGAACGCTACCTATCTTGTCTACTTCATCCAAAAACACGATACCTGAAACAATTTCAACATCCCAATCAAAGTTTCATTGAACAAACTCCTGGGCAACATGGTCTGTGGTTAAATGTCACAGGAAGTGTTACCTTGTTGAGCTTTCTCGATCATATAGTTGGCGTCCTGCAGTAGCTTTGCGATGACTGACTCTATGTCCTCTCCCACGTACCCTGCCTGAGTGAGGGTGGTGCAGTCACAGATTGCAAAGGGAACATCCAGGCATTTGGCCAATGTTTGGGCCAGAAGCGTTTTCCCTGTAGCACAGATTTGTTAGGTTCCTAGTTGTTCATATCAGCACACTTTGCTCAAGACATAAGTTTCAAAAGTTTAGGGGCATTAAGGTTTTTTAAATGAAAGAATTCTCTAATGCTCACCAAGGCTGTATTTATTTGATCACAATACAGTAAAAACAGTAATATTGTGAAATATTATTACGATAAAAAAAAAATAACCGTGAAGCTGAATCTTCAGCATCATTACTCCAGTCTTCAGCATCACATGATTCTTCAGAAATCATTCTAACATGCTGATTTGCTGCTCGAGAAATATTTATCATCAATGTTAAAAACAGCTGTGCTGCTTTATTTACTTGCGGAGACAGTGATACTTTTTTCAGCATTCTTAGATGAATGGAAAATCCAAAAGAACAGCATTTATTTGAAATAGAAATCTTTTGTTACATTCTACATGTCTTTACCGTCACTTTTGATCAATTTAATGCATCCTTGCTGAATAAAAGTATTAATTTTTTATTTTATCTTACTGACCCCAAGCTTTTGAACAACTGTCAAATTGTACACGACACTGAAAGTGTGTGTTTCTGTCTCACCTGAGCCAGTGGGGCCCAGCACCACTATGTTGCTCTTCTCTAGTTTGATGTCGGTGTGTGTGGAGTCCAGCACTTCTCCTCCTCTCTTCTCTGGAGGTGCCTGCTGGTTCAGCTGCTGCTGCATGGAGGCGCCCAGAGCGTTTCCATGAGGACTGATCCCTGCAATCTGCAGCAGCTCTGGACAAATTACACAACAGTAGCAAAAACAAAACAAAAATGCATAAAGTATGACTTTTTGAAGATTAGGGAATTCACAAAAGATTTCTGAATTTCAAGGAATCTTCATTATGTATGTAATGATTTAGTGCTTTGAAAATCTCAACTTAAACAGTTAAACATAAGATCTTTAAAAGGAATGTTCCAGGTTCAAAACAAGTTTTTGACCTTTTTCGGTGGCACACTGTCGATACCACAGACAATAATTTTGAAGTCTCACTCATTATGTTTACAGCAATGCACTTACAATCACAGTCTATAGGGCAAGACATTCAAAAACAGCTTGAATCAAAACATTCAAAGCGCAATTTTTTTGTTAAACCAATTTTTTGATTCAAGCCGTTTTTGACTACCTCAACATAAGCACTTTGAAGTAGAGATCTGCATTCCCGCGGCTCTCCCGCGGGAACCGACCAGATTTCTTGCGACGCGGGATAAAATTTCCGAATAAAACGTGGTACCGGTCGGTAACTCTGGTGTAATCTTATCGACCACCGGTACAGCCTGCGCTCAGGACTGTTATGCACGCGCTGCACGCACGGACCAGCGCTTTCCGCATCATGTATTTTATTTGCGGGGTCTGTGCGCGCAGCATGTGCATAACGGTCCTCAGAGCAGGCTAACCGGTTGTAAATATACGGCCATCAGACAGAACAGGCATGTTGTCGATGAGTGACAGAGCAAAATAAGGATTGCAGTGGATGCGCTGTCCTTGAAGGACGTTCAACTCGGTTTTGTTCATATTTTGCTTAGCCTGATTCAGTAGCGGAAATTTAAATGTGAGATTCTGGAAACAAGATCTAAATTTAGCGGTAACGGTCGGGTCGGGAATAAAATTATTCTAAGCGGACAGCGGGTGAACAAAGAGTGAATATATCGCGGGAGCGGGAATAAAAAAACAGTCCCGTGCAGGCCTCTACTTTGAAGCACTAAAATTACTATTACTATTGAAAACTGAAAATATTAAAAAACCCAATTTCTAAATATTTCACAAATAAGTACATAAATAATATTAAAATAACACTGATAACGATAGCACCAAAATGTGTACTTTCATCATCAGTGAAGACTAGCTGCACCGACTGGTACGGTCAAATTGCTTAGTGTGCACAGCAGCTCTATTCACAAGATCTAATGGAATTTCCTGTGACAAGAGCCTCTGAAAGCTGCATATGGCAAAAGCAACACATGACCCAGCAGTTAAATCAGGTCACTAGGAAACTCTCCCTCTCTGCTTAGCTGGTAAAACATGACATCATTGTTTCTGATACATTGCATTGTCACTTTAAATATGCGTTAATATAACACTTCATTTCCTTTAACCTTTTTTCATTGTTGGAAGAAAACTAACTACATGTTTTTTTGGCATTTGTACAACACCCAACAAAGATCAAAGCATACTGAAACAACACAGAACAGATTTGTTTAGAAAAATAAATGGAAAATGTCCACACCGCTTTTACAAGCTATTTAAAAGCGAAGGAAAGCGAGGAAAAGAGGGAACGCCCCGCCCCCGCGGTGATACCGGTATTACTGGTGTTGTCACACGTCGATTAACCGGTGGGAAAATTTCCTCACCGTCACAACCCTAGTTCAAATGACACATATAGACAATAATGCAGATTATGGGTGTTGACATACACTTACTTGTAAACCTGTATTCATCCACCCGTCGTCTTAGCTCTAGCTCTACAGAGAAAGATGACGAAATCACTACCAATTCTCACAGTACAAGAAACCTTGACCTATTCAGTAAACTCTGCTGCAAAATTGCAACTGAATTGTACAAATGCCAAATGACAAAAGTTGACAGATTCCATAAAATGTTGCTTTTGGATTATTACTAATGACAATAACAATGGAGGTTATACTGGCTTCTAAAAAAAAAGAGTAGATTAGAAGATTTAAGAAGGTACACAATGGAAACCTATCATGGAGGGCTAGTCCTTCAAACATGACACAACCAAAATGATTAAAAAGAACATTTAAAGGAAAAGTTCACCCAAAAGTGAAAAATCATTCACCCTTATGCCATCCAAGATGTAAAGTTTGTTTCTTCATCATAACAGATTTAGAGAAATTTAGCATTTCATCACTTGCTCACCAATGGATCCTCTGCAGTGAATGGGTGCCGTCAGAATGAGAGTCCAAACAGCTGATAAAAACATCACAATAATCCACAAGTAATCCACACGACTCGAATCCACAGCCCATCAATTAACATCTTCTGAAGTGAAAAGTCTGTAACAAACTCTCATTCTGACGGCACCCATTGACTGCAGAGGATCCATTGGTGAGCAAGTGATGTGATGCTAAATTTCTCCAAATCTGTTCTGATGAAGAAACAAACTCGTCTTTATCTTGGATGGCCCGAGGGTGAGTACATTTTCAGCGGGTAAACTATTCCTTTAAAAGTAGATTATAATATTATTCCCTTGGCAATCATCACTACTATTATTTCTCATATTTAGGTTTAGGGATTTGAACAATCTACTTAAGCTTTGATATGTAAAGGAATAGCACACTTCAATGAGCATTTAAAATTATTTTAAAAAGCTGGATACATTTTCATTTTAATCTTCGAAGCACAAAAAACCTGTGTGTTTCACCAAAGGATCACTTCTCTATTTCGTGCTTTCAACTGATGAGTAAAACCTGGCTTTCTGATTACACCAAGTATAATTTGTATCCTGTGACAGATTAATTTCCTAATGGCTATGAGTCTCTTACATAAGAACTGTTTAGTGAAAACCACTTGTTCTTAACTTCTATGCGTGTTCGACACACATACACACGCTCTGCAGTACAAACCTCGAGGAGTGAGGGATGCCTGTTTCTCTACCTCCACCTGCTGCTGCCTGGAGCCTGCCGGCATGTTGTTGTAGATGCGTTTATAATGATTGTACACGGCCACCGACAGAACCTTCTTAGCATGATCCTGACCCACAACATACTTATCAAGATAAGCATAGATCTGCAAGAAAACAAAAACAGAGACATTACACACAAAGGTGGGAACCACCAGCTAACCTTGTAGTAGGTTGTTACACTGCTCTAAAATCTCAAAGTTTAATGAATATTTACCTTTTTAGGTGGCGGAGGGGGTTTCTGCTGGAAAGCCAACTTAACAGCTTCCGCTGCAGACTCTGGGTCTTTACTCAAACTCTTCTTAGTGTCTGTTTCTGAAAGCACCACAAAAAAGTGGTGGCATTTTTCACATTTCACAAAGCGAGTTGATGCTGCAAAAGAGAAATAACACCTTACTCAGTTTTTTTAAATCGCTGAACGATTAATTGAATTAAAACCGTAATCGCGGCATTGCTTATGTTGTTTAATTAAATATATGCGCTACGTGTTTCAGAGTGAAATGCGGCACTCAAGCAGCTCATGATCCAGTGTTTGCAGTGTCTTAAAACGGCTCAGTCCACATGATCTCATCTCTGCATCTACTCCGAGTCTGGGATGCTTATAATGTTTATTTGGGAACGCAACATGCACAAATCATGTTATATTAAAATTGTAATTTCACAGTTGTACTGTAAAATAAAATTATTATTACATTTTTCTTGAATACAATTTATTTTACAGTGAAATACTACAACAGTAATGTTTTATATTTTGTTTAAAATTTGAATCTACTAATTACAAATCTACTATAAGATATCTATGCATACTGCATTCCCTAATAATAATAATAATAATATTAATAATGTGCAGCCCATCAAACAAGCACCACAAACTGGAAGATTTGAAAGAAAGCCTTGAAACATAATTACTTTTAATTAAAACAAGAAATTAATAAATGAAGTTGCAATTTAAATCACAATCAGAATTTTTAGTTTTAACTAATCAACTTTTAAGCCATGTTACTAATTAAAACACCAGCAGATGAGAAAGCAACTTGTTGTGTATGATTTATTTTTAGCATTGAACAGTTAGTTCAGTAAACACTACTTAAACATGCACAAGACCAAAAGAAACCGTAAGTCTTTGGAAACAACAAAAAATGTGTTCACCTTGAGTAATCCAGTAATACACTCAGCAGACAGATAATTATATGAAAAAAATAATTGAATAAAATAAAATAAATATATCCAATGATAATAAAATAAAAAATTAAACCAAAAAATAAAATATAAAATGAAACGAAGTACTCACAAACAAATGTTTCTACATGTGTGCAAGGATCTCCACATTTGGGGCACCTCAGCTGACTTCCTCCTTTGCCGGAATTACTAGAGCTGCTTCTTTTTCCACTTCCTTCACCAACTGATTTCTTAAAAAGAAAACAAGTTTAATAAAACAATTTCCAGGAAGAGGATGAATTACATTGCTAAAGTTATTATTACTTCCTTCTCAGACCCTTGTTGTCATGTAACGCCACATATCTATAATCTTACCTTTCCACCATCTCCATCTTTCATCCCATCTTTTGAAGCATAATACACAGAGGTCTCCGAGAACCACCTCACGGGGACACGGCGTGCCAGACGAACCTCACGAGTCCCCAGGCGGCTCAGTGACAGTAACTGGACTCTAGAGCCAGAAATTCCTGTGGCACAAACACAAACATGAGAGCTACAGGAGGAAATGCACTCAAAATATCAATAACCTGATGACAGGTATGAAGCCATATTGTTTGAAGTGCCTTAAAACAGAACATTGGCAACAAAAATCACACTTTATTGGAACAGAAATCCAATCCAACAAATAAAATAATGTTTCTAATCAGACTACAGGAGTTTTGACAAAGAATTACATTTTCATATTATGAATCATGAAAGAGATTTGAAATAATCACCGGGCCAAACTAACTAATGACTTACATTAAACAACTAAATGAATTCATTAATGAATCGTAGGTTATTATTTCAATAAATAATCTGATTATATAAACAATGCGCATGTGTATTGCAATAGATGCACTTGTCAAATGTCCAATGACATTTTTTTTACTTTAAAAGCATTAAAATACGTCTTATAAATGAAGGCTGACTTGTAAATATATAGTTTTTTTAATAGTAAATAATTACGGTTTGTTTATATATTGTTAGCGCACTAGCAGCAGTGCTAGCCGAACTGTTAGGTTAAGAAACAAACAAACATCAATATTTTTCAAAATATGACTTTCTTCTTACCTTTGTGAGCTGAATTTAGCAGTTTTCTCGCTGCTGAAGCACACGTACACGACATGCTTGAGTGTTGTTGTGTTTTTTGACTAACTGAATCGGTTGAATTTGCGGAGCGATGGAAGGTTAGCGCTAGCTTAGAGCTAACGCAGCGAAAGCCATTCAATACAGGCCCGACAATAATAAATGACTTAAAATCAAATCTGTGAATTAATAAGAAGCAATTACATTAATAAGCGAAATACGTTATTTTGGGGTCTGAACTAAACACACACTGCTGTCTGAGCTAGACACTGTGATATACGAGTAAACAACCGATGACACTCTTGAGTCACTGAATCATTCTGACCGAGAATCATCTCAGTCGGTGAATCAATTCGCAAAGATTCAAAGAATCATTAGGTTCAGTGAATTACCTAGGCAATGAATCATTTACGTCACTGAATTAATTCCGCAGTGAATCAATAAATCACTAAAGCCAGTGAATCAATCCTTAACAATGAACAGACTGTTACAATGAGCGGAAACAAAAGTCCAACACCGCAACTACAACACAACAGCTGTCTAATACACACTACTTACGTATATTATATCACAACCCACTCCACATCGCAGCAATCCTGAAACTGTACAGAGAAAAGCACAACGTGTGCGTCTGTCACTTGTATCATTTTCAGGTTCATTACAGATGAATTACAGACTAAACAACCTGAAAAACATTAAACTTCGCAGTCTAGTACATCTAACTAAAACTAACTAACTAAGCATATGAATGATTTTTTTTAATGCAGAAATATAATTCAATACAAAAGAAACAAATAATGCAGAACAAAGAGCATAGAACATATGGGGGAATACGGAGGAGAGAGGTTTTTTTGAACAAATTACAATTTATCTAAAAACCGTTCTATAATATGAGATGACTTTGATAATATGATGGCGTTTTTATTAGAGGAGACTTTTTGAAGTGATGATAATAAATGTGGATCAGAAGTAAATATTTTGCTGCAGGGTTTACATTTAAGGTATGTAGCTTTGTGGATATATTTATCCATCATAAAAATAAAGTTTAAGACATCATCTAACTCCTTATTGTCAGAAATATCAGAATGGAAAAGAACCTTACTGATGGAAATACTACAGAGCTGGTGGAACACAAGAAATAGGGAAGCTGATATTTGAAGCCAGAATTGTTCATATGAATGATTTTATTAAACAAAAATAGGTGCAAAACAAACCCTATAACAAATTTACGGATAAACATGGACAAACATGCCTAATATAAAATAATATATATATAAAATATTTAAATATATAATATCACATTGCATACTAAATTAAAGAAAAAAATAATAATACGTGGAAACATTGAATATTAGATTTGAATAGTTGTGAATGTTTCTAATAGAGTCGTGACCGAGACTATCATTATGTCATTCATTTCGGTTTTTGTTCAACAGAAAGAAAGAAAGTCATGCGGTTTGGAACAACTTTTTTTTTTTTCAGGGTAACTGTTCCTTTAATGGCTCCCCGTTGCTCTCACCGCGCATGCGCACAGTTTGCGGGTCCTGATTGGCTGGTGTGATCGTGTGCAGTCAGTCGTTTGTTGGCTGCGGAAGCTGCTGTCATGTGATTCAGCGAAAGGCGACAATGTTTTTTCAAATCTGTGGATGAAAGTCAGTAAAAGGTGATTTATTTCACAAATCAGCACGGTAATGTTTACTCATCTATCGCTCGAAATGGTCCCCTGATTTACATTGTTGTGAAGCGTATACAAACGGCAGTTTTATAGAGATGGATGTTGTGTTTTTGAGCGTTTAAAACAATCTCATGTCCGCTATTTTACTTATTTAAACGATTATTTCAAATATAATTTTGATATAATTTATTTTATATTATTTGATGTAATTGCAGGAACTGTGTATGCACATTTACAAGATCATTTAGCACACTAGTCACATGTTTTTCTCATAGGTTTTTCTATGGTGAAAAACATGAAGGGGGTGTAAAATCAATGACACAGCAACCTACCTGTTCTTTTCATCTAAATTGCAAGCATTGAGACGATCGTGTCAGTTATTCTGTGAAACATACACGTGTTTAACCTGACATTTCATCTGCATTTCAGCAATGGAGGAGATAAGAGTATCTCCTGACTATAACTGGTTCAGAAGCACCGTACCTCTGAAAAGAGTAAGTTCATCTGTCTGTCTCTCTCTCTCTCTCTCTCTCTCTCTTATCAGTCTATCTATCTATCTATCTATCTCAAGTTGAACT